AGTACTCGTGCTCTCTCAGCAAGAGCACACCAGTGAGCATTCCATATGGAAACACACAACAGTATCAGACTATTTTAACAGATAATAACCACTGGGCTATTTTACATCAAAAAACATATAATATTGAGTCTCCCTTTTTTAATATACCTGTGCTCTTTTCACACTGTACTCAGATAGGTGTCATCTGTCATTTTGCTCATAAGTACAAAGAAATTTTTGTTTACCTAAGTCATTTTGCTGCTACCTAAATAATTGCTCTTTATATTAGAACCGAAATACCTTTTTTCCAGTGGCATTTATGAGTCAGCACCACAAATCAAACAGAAAACACTGTCAAATAGTCATAATATTAAAATAACCTACAGTAGGCAATAATAACTAAAGATTTTCCAGTATTAATTTCCAAACATTTGAAAGAAACAATCATTCATTACTATTATGGGGAAAAAAGTAAAGTAAAATAAAATCACAAAATTTTAGAGGGAATCTTAGGGATCTCCTAATGAGTAAGCTAATGACAGAGATACAGAAATGTTGGTTTACCTAATTTATAATAAACCAAACTGTACATAATTATCTCTATCAATCAGAAGCCATCACATTTACATAAGAACAAAATAATTTTAGTAAGTTTCCAGAGTTATAATAGAATCTAGTATTGAATTTAGAATAGTTTATATTAACTATAAGACTCAATAATGTCAAAACTTAAACACATTGGTTTCTATTTTTAAGCTACACAAATAGTGAAGGGAAAATTGCAATCAAGAAGAAAACAACATAGTGATCTATTTAAACACCTCAAAATGTCATCATAAAATGGCCCATAAAAAAAAAACAAAACTGCTTCAAATTATTTGCCTTTCACAATGCATATTCTTATTTCACTTGGAAAATTTAATTGTGTTTCACGTATGACCTTTAAAGCATCATTGTCACAGCTTGATAACATCCAAATAATTTCAATAAAACATCTACCACAGATGGGAAGTAATAAAATCATAATAGAAATACTCAAACTTTATAATAGTATCTAGGAGAAATTTCTTTTCTAAAACTTAGTCTTTGTCTCTTCAGAAATGAATATTGTGCTTCCAAGTAAATTTCTTGGGAAGACACAATAAAAACTCTCTGAATAGGCAGACTTCACCATCCTTTATGTCTGATCATTCAGTTCTTCAGTCCTCATTAAATCCTTTCCTAAGAATCTCAGCTAGACCTTACACATATCCCCTGCATATTCTACTGAGTGCAAGACACTAAGCCACATGGAGCTTTCCCTTCCTTAAGGTCTTTTTACATTTATTTCCTGAATATTATTTTCTGTAAATGACACAACTTTGTCATTTATGATTCACCTAAAAGCAATAGATCATGCGCCAGACTGAGGTCCATGAGGGTAGGACCCAGTTTTCTGCTTCTTTATATCTCCCACAATAGCTGGTACAAGATACAAGTACAGCAGGTGTTCATACCTCCTAATTGACAAAAGTGGTAAAGACAGCCACACAAATATATGAGAGCATCAGTATCAATTCCTAGCAAATACCGTGTACTGGTTTTCAAATCCAGATAGTTAAATAAAAATTGAATGGCTACACGTTTGTACAAATGCCATTTGCTCTGACTTTGGTCAATATTCAAATGTTATTTTACATTTTAAGTATTTGAGAAACTAAGGGGTAATTGTTATATTCTAAAACTAGTAGATACAAAATCATTACAAATTGGCAGAACTATTCCCATAGTTCAGATAGGTAAACTACAGCTCAGAGGAGTAATGTAACTGTCCAAAGTGTAAGAAGTAAATCCAGAAATCAAAGTTGGGTCTTCACAACCAGTGAACTGTGGCTGGTTCAAGCTACTGTGGCCATGAGCAGCCTTGCTATTTTTCCCAACAAACCATAAAACTGCCATTTTCTCTGCATCCCACATGAAAAGGTCTGGGAGTACCACCTGACTCTACCAACACTGCCTCTCAAAAACGTTTTCCAGTAATATAAACTACCCAGCGGCGGTACTCCCATTATCAACACTCTGTGCTGACACTTCTATTTTAAAAACTCATTCTTTAAAAGAGAAAAACTACAACTGCTTAGATTTTCATTTTCTTAGTTTCCTTTCCCTTCTGATCCTGTCTGCACGATATTATGCTCAAGTCATCTGGATGGTAGTTTTGGGTATTCTCCCAAAATCTCCACTTGATTATTCTAAAAAATCTCTTGAATGCTTGAGCAACTGGAGAACATCATGCTTTAAATATGGATTTAATGAGGGCAGGATTTCCTGTATATTTATTGGACTCTTGCTGACAGCTCCTGTATATTTATTAAACCCCTCAGAGCACATTATGGAGATGAGAGCTGTGAGATTGCAGATGGTGGCAGGGACCTAGGGAGGAGCAGTGTGAGACAACCATTTGTCTCAAAGCAGCAGTATGGCCATCACTTCTTTCATCATTACCCCATCTTGTCCTGATAATGGAGTCTGGGCAAGCTGAGGCAGCCCCATGTGGGACTGGGCAGAGATATCCTCCCTAAGTAATTCCTCTGGTCATAAAAATGGCTTTGAAAGCTGAGGTCAAACTCTTTCATAAAACTCCATTACATAATATTGATAGATTCCCCATCTCATGTGTTAGTGTGAAAGTAACCACAACCATAAAATTTTTTGTTTGTGTATATGTTTTTAATAATGTAATAAAACCCCATGAACCCATTATTCCAAAATAAAACTGGCCCTTATTTATAACATACATATTCCTATGTACCCCCATCCCATTCCTAGGCCTGCCTCCACCTTAGGAGACCAGTATCTGGAACTACTCATGTATTTCTGGGTGATGAAAATATTTTATATATATATATATATATATATGTGTGTGTGTGTGTGTGTGTGTGTGTATTATGTATATTATGTGCATTTATGTTCTTTTAGTTGTTTCTAAGTTTATAAAATGGGTACATGATATATGTAATATTCATGGACTTATTGTTTCACTTGCTATTAAAATTCACCCATATGGCGGGGGGGGAGGAATGGCAGTTTCATTGATGAAACTAAATGAAAACTTAAACCCAAGTAAAGAACACCAGTAAGGGAAACTACAAAGGTAAATATAAAAGACAATAATAGATAGGGGGGGATAGAAGGTGTAACAACTTTCGTCTATTTGATTTGAAAGGCAACTGTATAAAACAACAATTATAAAGACTTTAATGGGCTTATAATGTATAAAGATGTAATTTGTAAAATAAAAATAGCATAAGGGTGGGGGAAAGGGTTAGAGCTATATTAGAGCAAGATTCTGTACTACTGAAATTATGTAAGGATTAATATGAACCAGACTGTTTTAAATTAAGATGTTAATTGTAATCCCCAAGATAACAACTAAGAAAATAACATATATATGGGAGAAAAAAAAATCTACCTAACACAAAAGGCATGAGAGAGCAATGGATGAACCAAAAAGATGACATGTAGAAAACAAATGGTAGACATTTATCTTACCTTATCAGTAATTATAATAAATGTAAATGGATTAAACACTAAAATCAAAAACCAGATTAACTGTATGGATTTTTTTTAAATGACTCAACTATATGCTATCAAAAGAGACTCAAATTAGATTGAAAGACACAAGTCGAAAACAAAAGGATAATGATGAATCACGCTAACAGTAAGCAAAGTAGAGCTATACTAATATCAGACAAAAAAGACTTCAAGACAAAAATGTTACTAGAAAAAAAAAGGGAAATTTTGTGACAACAGGGTCAATTCAGAAGGAAAGATAATAATTATAAATGTTTATGAACCTAATAACAGAGCCCCAAAATACACAAAACTAAAACTGACAAAACTAAAGAGAGAAATAGACAATTCAACAATAATAGTGGAACATGTCAATACTCCACTTTCAACAATGGATAGAAAAAAGCAGAAAGATCAACAAGGAAATGGAAGACTTGAAAAACACTACCAACCAAATTACTTTAACAAACATCTATAGCACACTCCACTCAACAACAAAAAAAGAGACATTCTTCTCAAGTACACATAGTACATTCTCCAAAATAAGCCACATGCTAGGCCAATTTAAAAAAAAAACATTAATAAATTTAAAAGGATTGAAATTACACAAAGTATATTCACCAACCATAATGGAGTTAAATTAGATATAAACAATAAAAGAAAATTTAGAAAAATCCACAAATATTTGGAAATTAAACAACACATTTCTAAATAACAATAGGTCAAAGAAAAAAATTACAGTGGTAATTAGCAAGGATTTTGATATCAGCAGAAATAAAAACACATCAGGTCAAAATGCATGGGACACAGCTAATGCAAGACTTAAAGGAAACTTTATAGTGTTAAATGCCTATATTAGTAAAGAAGACGACCTCAAATCAATAATCTAAGCACTTCCCTTCAAAATGTAGGGGGAAAAAAGGAAAACACATTGAAGACAATCATAAAGAAGGAAATAATAAAGATGAGAGTGGAAATTAAAGAACTATAAAACAGAAAAATTAATTTTCTAAGATAAATTTAAAGAACCAAAAGTAAGTTCTTTAAAAATATCAACAAAATTGAAAAACCCTTAAGTATACAAACCCTTAGCAAGAAAAAGGAGAGAAAATACAGACCACAAAAATCAGGAATGAAAGATTACCTCTGACTCTTCAGAAATTAAAAGAATTATGAAGAAATACTATGAACAACTTTATGCCAACAAATGCAACAACTTAGATGAGAAAGTAAAAATAATACAAACAGGAAGGGACCATGGGCTGATCTCTTTGGACATATCTTGTTTTACAATGTTGACACTGAAACCATGTAATCCTATTATGTAATTTAAAAACAAAATTAAACAAAAATAAGCAAAAGGCAGTCACCGAGTAGAAAATGAACTAAACTGCACATCAGGTTGGTGGCATAACCACACAGAGAAAATAATTCCTTCAAGTTACTTTAAAATGCTGAATTTGGGGAGTTCCCTGGTGGTCTAGTGCCTAGGATGCGGCACTTTTAGTGCCGTGGCCCAGGTTCAATCCCTGGTCAGGGAACTGAGATCCTGCAAGCTGCGCGATTGCAAGCAGTGTGATGCGGCCAAAAAAAAATGCTGAATGTTGACCACACATTTCTCCAGAGGGATACAGCCTAAGGCAGTGGGGGGCGGTGGGGGGGGGGTGGAGGAGAAGGAGCAGGTGTGGGGAGGAAGAGAACTGCAAAGAAATATCAAATAGCATTCTATAGTCTTTTTGTAAATAGAAATACTGTGGTATCATTGTTTTTTAACTATCATAGTTATATCATAGGATAAATCAAATGAGTAGTATGAGACTTTCCAATATAAAATCAAAGAAGAGCTAGTACTCTTGCATTTGATCTAGAAGCATAAGTTTTTCACTTTAAAATAAATATATGCTTATCATATTACTACAAATACTTATGTGTGTATATATGACCTCAGAGATAGGTATGTGTGTATTTGTATTTCCTAGCTCTAACCACTGTAAACACCAAAAAGCAATAACCCAAACTGTGGTTTCTAAATATTGTTTCCACTAAAGAGAACAAGGGCTACTTTCCAAAACGCTTGATTCCACAGTGAGGGGACGAAATGTACATGAGACTAAGAACTTGTTATTCCAGCAACCCACAAAACTACCAAAAACTAATGGGGGTCTCAAAATGAACACTAGCAAACCGAACCCAACAGCATATTAAGATTACACACCATGATCAAATTGGATTTATCCAGGAATGCAAGGGTGCTTCAACGTAAGAAAATCAATGTAATACCATATTAATAGAACAAAGGAATAAAACCACATGATCATCACAGTTGACAAGAAAAGGCATTTGACAAAATTTAATATCCTTTCATGATAAAAATACTTTAAAAGGTAGGAATAGAAGGAAACTTCCTCAAAATAATGAAGGGGATTTATAAAAAACCCACAGCTAACATCATTCCAAATGGTGAAAGACTGAAAGCTTTCCACATAAGATCAGGAATAAGAAAAGGATACCCACTCTCACCACAGTTATTCAACATGGTACTGGAAGTTCTAGCCAGGGCACTTAGACAAGAAAAAAGGGATCCAAATTGGAAAGGAAGAAGTAAACTCTCTCTATTCAAAGATGACATGATCCTGTATACAGAAAATCCCAAAGAATCCATAAGAAAGTTACTGGAACTTAATAAATTAATTCGGGAAAGTTGTAGAGTACAAAATCAACATGGAAAAATCAGTTACATTCCTATACATCTGCAATAACCTATCTGAAAAGGAAATTAAGAAACCAATTCCAGGGGCTTCACTGGTGGCGCAGTGGTTGAGAGTCCGCCTGCTGATGCAGGGGACATGGGTTCGTGCCCCGGTCCGGGAAGATCCCACATGCCGCGGAGCGGCTGGGCCCGTGAGCCATGGCCGCTGAGCCTGTGCGTCCGGAGCCTGTGCTCTGCAACGGGAGAGGCCACAACAGTGAGAGGCACGCATACCGCAAAAAAAAAAAAAAAAAAAAGAAACCAATTCCATTTACAATAGCATCTAAAAGAATAAAATACCTAGGAATAAGTTTCATTAAGAAAGTGCATGAATCGTACACTAAAAACTATAAAATATTGCTGAAATAAATTAAAGAAGACTTAAATAACAGGAAAGACATCTCATATTCATGGATCAAAAAGCTTAATATTGTTAAGGTATCAAGACTACCTGAAGTGATCTGCAGAGTCAATGCAATCTCTATTAAATGCCAGGAGTCTTTTACAGAAATGGAAAGGTCAATCCTCAAATTCATAAGGAATTGCAAGGCGCCCAAAATAGCAAAACAATCTTCAAAAAGAACAACTAAGTTGGAGGACTCACACTCCTAATTTTAAAACTTACTACAACACAACAACAATTAAAACAGTGTGGTACTGGCATGAGAACAGACATATAGACCAATGGGATAGAATTGAGAGTCCAGAAATAAATCCATATCTCCACAGCCAAGTTAGTTTTGACAAGGTTTCCACATCCTATTCAATGGGAAAAGAAATGTCTCTCCAACGAATGGTGCTGGCACAAATGGATGTCCACATGCAGAAGAATGAAGTTAGACCTCTCTCTCACATAACGTACAAAAATTAACTCAAATGGATCAACAACCTAAATACTGTATAGAAGCTAAAACCATAAAACTGTTAGAAGAAAACATAAGGGTAAATCCTCATGACCTTAGATTTCACAATGGATTCTTAGACATGACACCAAAAGCACAAACAACAAAAGAAAAAACTGGACTTGATCAAAATTTTTTAAATTTGTGCTTCAAAAGATATTATCAAGAAAGCAAAAAAACCGCCTACAGAATGGAAGAAAATATTTGCAAATACACTATCTGATTAGGGTTTAATATCCACAATATCTAAACAACTCCTAAACAAGATGACAAACAACCTAATTTAAAATGGGCAAAGGACTTGAATAGACTTTTCTCCAAAGAAGATACGCAAATGGCTGATAAGCACATGAAATGATACTCAATATCATTTGTCATTAGGGAACTGCAAGTCAAAAATCACAATGAGATATCACTTCACCTACTAGAATGGCTGTAGTTTAAAACAAAAGAAAGAAAATTATCAAGTGGAGAGGATGTGGAGAAATTGCTAGTAGAAGTGTACTACCATGGTGCAGCCACTGAGGGGAACAGTTTTGGCAGTTCTTCATAAAACTAAACATCAAATTACAGTATGACTGAGCAATTTCACTTCTAGGTGTTTACTCAAAAGAACTGAAAACAGACTCATATTTGTATACCAATATTCATTCACAGAATTATTCACAACAGTCAAAAGGCGATAACAACCCAATTATCCATCAACAGATGCATGAATACACAAAATGTGGTATATCCATTCAATGGAACATTATTCAGCCAAAGAAGGAACAAAATTTTGACATATGCTACAATATGGATGAACCTTGAAAACATTATGCTATGTCCAATCATAAAAGGACAAATACTGTATGATTGCACTTACATGAAATATCTAGAATAGTCAAATTCACAGAGAGAGGAAATAGATAAGAGATTGCCAGAAGTTGAAGAAGGAGGGAATGGTGAGTTAGTGCGTACTGGCTATAGAGTTTCTGTTTGGAGTGATGAGAAAGTTTTGGAAATAAATAGTGGTGATGGTTGCACAACATTGTGAATATACATTAATGCCACTGAATTACACACTTAAAAATGGTTAAGATGTCAAATTTTATATTTTATGTTTTTTAAACCATAAGACAATTTTTTAAAAAACTAATTGAGTCTTGCCAAAAGTTGGATCACAAGATCCAACTTAAAGGGGCCCAACTAGCCAAAAATGTGACAATTTGAGTGTCAGTAAAAACTAATGAGTGACATGGAATAAACACCAAGTACATAAAAATTCATGAATCAATAATCTTATTAGATTTTTTAAAATCACTGTTCACCAGTAGAATTTGCTAGGGTATTATGGTAGATTAAGATGGCTGCAAATTCTTTCCTGCTCCTCCCCTTAATTCCAGACTGGCCTTAGTGACTTACTTGACTGATGGAATGCAATAGAAGTAAAATTCTGAGACTTCAAGGCTAAAACATAAGAAGCTTTGCAGCTTACACAGGGGACTCTTGGAACATTCCCTCTGGGAACTCTGAGCTACCATGGAAAAAGCCCAACACTACCCTGGGACCATCATGCCTAAGGGGACATGTTTAGGCTCTCTGATAAGTAGTCCCAGGTGAGCCTATCCCAAGGTGCCAGACATGTGTGTGAATCGGTCTTGGACCCTGCAGATCAGCCCATCCACCTTCTTCCACATATAACAGTACTACCAGCCAAGCCCTCCAAAATACCTGACCTATCAAATAACGATGTTTAATAAAACAGTTGTTGTTTTATGCCCCTTGAGTTTTGGGGTAATTTGTTATGCAGCAGCAGATAACCAAGCAAGCATCAGCTTATTACTCTGAAAATTGATAAAGGAAAAAAATCAAGCATTTACCTGCCCTTCTAGGATAACTATTTCAGGGTAACTATATAGCTGATGAAGGAAGAATTCTAGCTAATAAAAGCATAAAGAATGATATCATTAGAAATGCACTGTTTTTCAACCCCTGAGGAAATCGTGGTTCTAGGCAATACTCATCAGCGGACTATAAAACCTCAGGTGCGAGGTTTTTAAGAGAAGGATTAGGCACATACTGGAACACGCACACCCGCCAAACACATCCCCACGACCCCACACACAAAAGCACACACAACAGATAAACTGCAGGAAATAAAAAGTGGAAAGCCATTATACAACCGAAGAGGCTTAAAGGACATAATTGAATACAATGTAAGGACTTTTGTTTACATGCTAATTCAAATAAGCCAAGTGGAAAAAGCCATCTTTGGATACAACCTGAGACATCTGAATGTGGATGGAAAATTAATGATATTAAGGAGTTACTATTCATTTCTTTTGGTATGATAATGGAATAGTAGTTATGTTTTTAAAAAAATAAGTACTTAGTGATGAAAACTGAAGTAATTATAGGCAAAATGGCATGATGATTTCTAGTCCTGCTTTAAAATTCTCCAGGAAAATAAAACACACTCTTACCCTCAAATTCCTGCAATTATAACAATATTGCCAAAATGCCAGTAACTATCAAAGCTGGATGATAGGTACACAGGGGTTCACTATACCGTTCCCTTCTGTGAAGTCTGAAAATGTCTGCTATGAAAAATGTTGTAACTGCTCAGTTATCGATTAGAACTGAACTTATGGGTTAATGTGGGGACAACTGCCATCTCTGTAATATTGATACTTTCCATGGTGAATATGGTACATCAGTGCATTTACTGATGTCTCCTTTTATGTCTTTGTGAAGGCTTTGCGTGTTTTTCTTTTTAATTTAGCCTTAGGTAATATATATATTATGCTATCTTGAATATAGCATATTCTTTACAAAATATTTCTATTGTTTTTTTATTGGATACATATCTACTTTTAAATATTTTTAATACATATTGGGTACAATTATT